AGCACCAGCCTAGCAAGCATGAGTTCCTGAGTTCAACCATCAGAGCTTCTCTCCCTCCGCCAAAAAGCTAGTTCTTCCTTACTTTCACTCTGATGATCAAATCACATCTACAGTACTGTACTGAAAAGGAGGATTCACCATATCTGTCACAATAACAGTAGTAGGTAGGTAGGATTGTAAGGGGCTGAAAATTATATATCATGCAGTATTACTTTGTGTATGTATGTGGTGCTAGGGATGGAATCCAGGGCCTGTCATGTGTTAGGCAAACACACTACCATTGAGTTATACCCCCAACCCTCAACATATTAAAGATATTAGGAATATTTAACTTGGAGGAAAGAAAACATGGAGCAACCACAAAAGTTACACTATTTGAAGAACTGTCACATTTGAGAGGTATGAAGCATTTTCTGTAGTCTCAGCAGATAGAACATGAGATAAGTGGGTGGAAATTTGCAGTGAAACTAATTTCAACTTAGATTTATGTAAGCCTTGTAGGTTGGTTGTAAAATTTTTGAATGCCTTTACTTAGTATCCCTGTTTTATACCTGAATTCTCAAAAAAAAAAAAAAACCCTCAGAAATCAAGTTATTTATATAAAATCATACAGCTAGTAAATTCAGGAGACTCAGCTTCAGTTTTCTGAATCTCAAGTCCAGCAGTCACTCAAGTATACTACATCTATCTAATGAAAGCTTAAGGGAGATATTTCAGTAATCAAGTAAGAAAAAAATATAACACACATGCACAGGAAATCAATGTGAGTCAATGCCCTGTATAGCTATCGTTATCTCAACCAGCAAAAACCCTTGTTCCTTCCTATTATTGCTTATACTGTCTCTACAACAAAATTAGAAATAAGGGCAAAATAGTTTCTGCTGGGTATTGAGGGGGTGGAGGGCAGAGGGAGGGGGCGGAGTGGGTGGTAAGGGAGGGGGTGGGGGCAGAGGGGAGAAATGACCCAAGCCTTGTATGCACATATGAATAATAAAAGAAAAAAATAAAGGAAGTTGAAGTTGTGGCTCAAGTGGTTGAGTGCCTTCCTAGCAAATGTGAAGTCTTGAGTTCGAACTCCAGTACGGCCAAAAAAATAAATAAAGGAATAGATTGCCTCATGAAGCAGTGAATACTGGAAGAGGTTCGAAAGAGACTGGAAAATGAGTAGCCCAGGATATTGTGGAGGAGATTCACTTATCTGATGGGACTTTGAACTCTAAAATCCCTTACAACACTGAAATTATAAGATTGTATAAGGACTGCAGATAGATGTAGAACTGGATAAAGACATTGAAGATGTGATTATAAGAGATATTTAGTTAGGTGTATTTATCTGAACAAAGCTTGAAGGGTAGGGGTGGAATGCTAAATAGAAGCCAGTATAGAAACCTTTAAGTCAGGATACTGGCTTGTTAAGGAACAATCTATTTAAGTTGGTGGGAAGAAACTTATACCTACAGTATATATATTGAAAAACAGTATTTTTATAAAAGTAAGGACATGCCGATCTTTAATGTGTGGCTAATGTTCACATGTCTTGGTTTGTTCCGACCAAAATACATATTATTTTTGTAATATCAATATTTTATTGACATAATTTTTTTAGAGTTTCCTTATCTGAAGCCCATGCTCGACTGAACTTAAGGAATAAAGTGCTAAAAGAAGATGTACTAATTGCTGTCTTATTATTTGAAACATCTCTTACATTGAAATATGGTAATGAATTAAACTATTAGTGATCCCTACAAATAATTTTAAACTTAAATATTCTTAGATTATCAAATTGTTATATATATTTTAAAATTATTTTAATAATCTCCATCAGGTAAGACTTACTTGATTTTGAACATTTACTAATTGTTGTCATAGTGCAGTGATAATGGAAACTTTGTGTGGAGGTAGTACAAATAGAAATTAGTGAATTAGAGATATAAAAATCAATAGGTTTTGTTTATAAAATAGGCTACGACTTAGGTGCAGGGGTAAAAGGAGAGGAATTAAGGAAAACCCCCACAAATCAGGTTATAGTGCCACTTATTAAGACTGGGAGAAACAGAGGAAAAGGTTTGGGAAAAAACCAAATTGCTTATGTTTGTGATATCCTGCAGAGATATGTTTCTTTTAACTGAAACTGGATAAAAGAGGGAAGTTCTAACCTAGAAATTAGGAATCTCCAGTGTACAGTATTTAAAGCCAAGAAGTGAATGGAATCATCTGGAGAGAGCCGAGAGAGAACTACAGGACTGCCCTTGAATTCTGGTATTTAGAAGTGGGGTTGAGGAGGAACTAAAAATAGAGACTGACAAGCAGGAGCTAGAATGTAGGAAGAAAATAAAGCATGGTGTTACACACGCCAAGTTTGCACAGAGAAACTGGCCAATTATATCACATGCTACTGAGAGTTTAAGATTACATTTTGGTAACCTAGAGGTTGTATGAAGGTAGCCTATGATAAGAGCTATTTGGAGAGCTGAGAGGGGGAATGGGGACTAGGGGGTAAAATACAGCTATGAAGACAGCACACAGACAACTTTTAGATGTTGACTATGGAGATGAGGGAAGAAATGGTGGACATGTGATCCAGGAAGGGTTTTTTTTTATTTAAAGACATGAAGTACTAAATCATAATGCACAATAAACGTGTGATACTACAGAAGGGCAGTGCTGGGCGTGGTGGTGTCTGGACAACATAGTTAGGCCAGTCATAAAAAGGGATGGGAGGAAGGAATCAAAGGAGTAAAAAACGGCGAGAAGGGATTGGCCTCTCATAAAAGGGTCACTTCCTAATTTTATAGGAATGAATATAGAACCAGGTAGGCTTGTAGATGTGGTCTTATACTTTACTCAAAGGTCATCATTTTGGGTTTGAAAAGACTTAATGATTAGTGGAATACTGTATTGAGTAGGTCAGAACTTAACTTTTAAACCTTAATTATTTTGGTTGAAAATGTGATTTCATTTCTGTATTTTAAGGAGTATTTGTCATTTACACTATATCTCATTCTTCATTTAGGAGCCACTGTGTTTTGTGTTGCTCCAAATGCGGTATTTCCATTTGAACTGTATAATGAAGAGTATTTAGAGCAAAGGGATCTCTATCTAACTCAGTGCCAGCAACAACTCCAACAGTTTATTGCTACATGTGGACCTGGGACAGCTGTTTTCTCCAGCGATGAATAGGCAATTTGAGAAAAGAATTTTGATCAAGTGTATTGAGTGATTTTGAAGTAATGCTTTACTTACCAGTATTACAATATTATCTGAATGTATCTAGTGTACACTAGAATTGCATTAAAAATATAAAATGTGGTCACAAAAATTAACTAATGGAATAAACACTAATCCAAATGTTTAAAAACTGAGAATTTTAAAATGTGATTTGAAGTTGCTCAAGAGAATCCTATTTTAAACAACTTCTGATTACCCCAGTACACCAGTGGGAAAGATAAAAAAATGTAAATGTTGCAATATGAAAAAAGGTAATTTAGTGCATGCTACTTGTCACAGATGACAGTAATTTACCTGTTAACCTTTTTTTCTGTAACTTTTTTTCTTAACTTTTTCAAAGTTAAGGCCTTTTCATGCTTTATTGACATGTGCATTGTGTAAATTTATGTATTTGGAAGCTCAAAATGTAGAACCAGGGAAAGCCTTATAAATTTTCTGTAACTAGATATTTATATATGGCAAACCAAATTTGAAAAAATGGAGTAATTTAAAAATTGGCTGTGACTCCACATGGTTTTAAGGTTCCAGTAGGCAGAGACCAATTTGCAAACCCAGTCATTTTTCTCTTAGGTGGGGTCTTGCTAACTTACCCAGAACTCCTGGGGTCGAGATCCTCAAGTCTCCCAAGTAGCTGGACTATAGGCACATGCACCCTCACCTGGCTTCACAGCATACCTATCTCATAAAACCATTATTACTGAATACCTACTAGTGCCAGAGGCCATAGAACTGTGTAAAGAAGTGATCAAGCTCATCACTTGTACCAGGCACATTTTAGAGATAGGAGCATTAAGTAGCCACTCAAAGACTAGTTATAACTAATGTAGTAACTTGGCTAGATGCCACCTTTTCTCTATATTGATGTAAACATACTGTACTGAGCAGGCTGGGGTGCCTGAACCTACTGCTGCTGCTGGGGGCTGACTGGTTGCTGCCTAAATGGACAATAAAGCATATAAAATCTTTCCTGGCTCCTGTTTGAACTCTGGACTTGAAACTTGCTAGGAAAGCACCCTACCACTTTAGCCTTTCTCAGCCCTTTTTTAAAGCTAGCTTTTAAACATTTACACACTACAACTTTGCCAGTTAAGAACCATACTTTTCCAGCCTGTAGGTGAAGGTAAAACAGTACCATTTTATAAAAACTGGTCACCTACAATAGCCTTAATTTTATAAGTGGAACACTGGGAGAATAGCTTTTGCATGCTGGGGAGTCTAACCCAGGGCCTCTAGCATGCCAGGCAAGCCTTCTACCATATGGATATATCATAGCCCTTAAGATAGTTTTAATTGCTGTGCAAATTTCATACTGTTTGTTGCAAAAGTAGGAACTGAGTAAAAGACTTAGCTAAATGTATGCCTTCAAGTAGGCAGGAATTTTTAGAATTCCTTTATAAATACTTAGAAGTACTAGACTGGCATGCTGTTATAGTGTATTACTATTATTACTGCAGTTCATGTGTGAAATCTTTATTTGTAAAAGGCAATGTAATTAATTGCTTTCTAGCATTTAAGGAATTAAGGAAATTCCAAACAGCCGTTTTTTTCAGGTATAATAGGTAGCACATACCCTTCCAGAATGGGAAAATAGAAACGTCTCCCCAGATGCCCACCTCAATGAGAATCTCCCCAAATGAGCAAGTTATTGGTTAGTTATTGTTTTAACCTACTTAAAGAGGTTAAAACAGGCTTGACTAGTGGCTATGAGAATGGAGCTGTTTAAAGAGTATTCAAAGAAAACATAATTTTTTGCTCAGAGCAATTAACCAGCCATGCATGTACTGTTAGCATAATTTATTTAGTTTATCAACATGAAATATTAAATTTCATCATTTGCTTCTGCTCCTGTTTTCTTGACCAATTCGTTTTTTCCTTCCAAATGTTGCACACCCCTAAAAAAAAAAATCAGAATCAGCAAGCAGTGAAAGTCATCTTTACTCAAACTCAGCAGTTCTCAGTAGCCTCAATATTCATCAAAAAAAAAAAAAAAGCAAGAAGGAAACATACCTTAAGAGATAAAGGCAACTTGAACTGGACCCAACCCTTTGGAGTTATTATCCAATAACACTGCTTCTGAGTGAGCAACAGATGTGATTTCTCGAGAAGTTCTAATTACTTGAGGCGACAAAGGACTTTGAAAAACATCACAGCTAATGGACTTGGTTGAGACACTCATCTGCAGTTACCTGCATGCTAAGAAAAAATATTTCACCTGTTTTAACAATAATTTGTGTTACATTTCAGTAATTCACACAACCAAGAACCAAGAGATTACTGGCATCTCAGTCTTAAAATTCTTTCTTCAGAGAAACGCTCAGCTGGGTAAACGGCAAAAATTTAAGTCATCATTGTGCCAGCTCTGATACGTATATATATGTCAAGACATTACCAGGTTTTGGCTAATTTATCGGGAGAAAAAAAAACCACACACCTGCATTTCTTGGTACCTTCTTTGTGGTCTTTGTAGTTTTCTTCAATCATCTTCTTTAACAAATTTTTAGACAGCACTGTTTCAACATCTTCACAACACAGATTTTGTTGTACCTAGAAATTGAGAGGGTCAGTCAATTCTCATAAGTACTTCTATTTGTTTGGCACCTTACATGTGGGAATATCCAGTAATTTCATTCTCATTAGGAGCCATAAAAATCATACATGGAACCTTACCTTCAACTCACAATTCAGGGATCATTAGCAAAGGAAGAAAAACAGCTGAAACATAGCCTTCACTAGGGGCAGTATTGATTTATTGATTTATGACACCATGGTCACCGGGGTCCCCAGCCATGACGGATAAACTATGAGCCAGGTTAAAGGTTAGATGCATAAATACAAGTGTACACACTTTCACCTACAAACATTACAATAGCAAATGTAATTTTAGAGCAAGTATACCTTATGTGGCCAAATTGACTGGAAGCACACTAATTACTAAGTACTACAAAGGACATAGCCAGTGTCACAACTCATGTCCTCCAGCACCCCAAGAGGATAAAATCATTGAACCAGACTGCTACTGGAAATGATTTATGAAGACGTTTAAAGTTGGACTTTGCTAAACAATCTATCACTTTCACATCCTGACATAATGAAATGTTTCAGCGAATACTCAGAATATAGTACCAACTACTGGTAGTGAATAATTGTAACTTGAGATTTTTCAATTAAACCAGACAACTACACCCATTAACATTTTTAAAGCTTAAGAAAACGTCTAGAAACTCTATGTTATCTACCCTACTCACCTTCAAAAACCAAGATTGATGGATACAAATTACCCTTGTGACTACTGGCTAGCAACTCCAGAGGCAAGGGAATGAGACAGGCAGCAAACAGACTAATTCTGGTGCTACAACAGTTCTGAAAAGAACTGGTGCAAAGAGTGGAGGTGTGGCTCAAGTGGTAGAGTCTGTAAGTCCTCAGTTCAAACTCCAGTTCTACCCCCCAAAAAAAAAAAAAACACCACCCGAGTAATAATTGGTGCGTGCTTTTGTATTCTTATTTCAGAACTCTCAGAGCGTCTGGGTGCAGCAGGTGCTCGCACTAAGGGCCTCCTATACCTGGCACATCCTGCTCTGCAAGTTCAGAGCCTCTCCTTTAGATAGTACTTAAACTGAAATCACTGCTGGGTGTCAGAAAACGGCGCTAACTTCAGTACCTTACCGTCTACGACAGCCATTTCCCCTTTTATAAAACGCCCCCTAAGAAGTAAACTGTCGGTTTAGGGGAATCAAGATCGTGCAGCTGGGGAAGCCACCGTCCGTTCCTCCAGGGTAACCGAAGCCTTCTACTAATTTCTGGGCTGGGGACCGTCAAAAGCGGCGCTGGAGCAGTCCGCCAACCTCCCCGAAGCGACTGCGCCCATGGAGCGGGAAGAGCTCCCGGCCGCGATCACTGGGTGCGGGAGCGCGGCTTCGCAGACCCGCGCCGCCCACACCCGGAGGCCGCGGGAATAGGCAGCCCCCGGGCGGAGGAGAGGAGGGCTGAGACCGCGAAAAGCCTCACCTCCATGGGCCCGGCCACCGGGCCGCAGGCGCTGCCGCACTGACCGCATGGCTGGCGCCGCACAGCAACACCTTCGGCAGCGGCACGGAAAAGGAAGCGCGGGGCTCGCGAGCTGCCTTTAGGCTCTCGGGTGCTACGCCCCGCCCTTCCGGCCCATGGCCACGCCCCGAGGGCGGGACTCTGCCTGGAGCCCCGCCCCCTCCCGGGTCCTCCCTCGGGGCGGTGCGCCGCTCGCAGAGCTTCTGGGGCGGGGTCAGAAGGTTGGCGCCCGAGCCTGGGCCCAAGGTCCGCGCCGCCGGAGCCGGTCTTTGACTACGCCACGGTGAAGCCGCGGGTCGGTGGTAACGCTCTGAAATGCGACGGTCCCCCTTTCTAGTGCTTCTGTTTGCTGGGACTTCTACACCCTCGCACGTGTCAGTGATTAAAAAACCGGTGGTACTGGACGACTCCATTTTGAGTAAGCGTTCTGGAGTCCGTCCTTTTACGCACACAAAAGAACTGGTTATCGCAGAAGGGACTTGCCGGTGTATTTTCTCTGTATTATGATAGTAGCTACCATTAGTTTTTGCTACCGTTTTTATTGATAGTAGCAAGAGTTTCTTTAAAAAGTACTCCTAAATCTGTTACCGACCTTGTTTATGAGCATGTTCTAATTTGCTGTTGATTTCATGTCGCATTGCTCTTACTTCTCTCGGTCATTACATACTGAGTCCTGACTACAAAGCACCAGGCTTTGTGCTGGAAAAGACAGGTTCAGGAACTTGTTGCCTGAAAGAACACACTTGTATAAAATTGAACAGTTACATCGGTAAAGGCGGGTTCTCTCTCCTTTAAAAACAGGAGTTTAGGAAACATTCAAGAGCTAGTGCATAGAGTTTAAGAATCTTGGTTTTGGGCCCCAGATGCAAGCTGTTTCTTCTGTTAAGTACCGAGGTGGGCCTCGGCCTACCTCAGAGATCTGGATTCCTAGCTGGGTATTGCTTCGAGAACCTGCAAACACCTTCAACAGGTGTTTACCTGCAACTCTGTGGACAGCTGTGGCAGGGCGTAGGAGAGCGTGAGATTGGATGCTGAGCCCATCAATGCTAAGGCAGCAGTTTAGACAAGTTCTAAACTCAGGACCACTGAGTCCTGGGCATGTGAGAAAGAACTGAAGACAAATGTGGACACATTGGTCCTCGGCCACAGCTCCCTGTGGGGCAGCGCCTGTGTTGCTCCCAGGTTCTGGCGCCTCCTCCTGCACTGCGCACAGTGCTTCCATCGGCTACTATGCCAGGAGATAGCTGAGCCGGGTGCATGGATATGGAAGGGCCACTGCCTTGATGACTTTTCTTTCTTTGCACGATGCAATTAAATATCATGACTAAACTTTAGGTGTTCCTAAAGCTGCACAGCTGCCTGTTTTCAGATTATCATTTTAGGTCAGTAATTTTAATTGACTAATAATGTCACAGTGTTTTCAACTGCGAGTAACAAAATACTTAGCTTCATTTTTAAAAATGAAGACTGTTATTCCACATTACAAGAAGTCTAGAGATATTAACTAACTCTAAGGTTTGTTGATTCAACAGATTTCTAGTTAAATTCTCTGAGAGTCAGTTTTCTCTTCAGAGTTGTAAAAAGGCTTCCATAGGTGCAAACATAACATCTTCATATAACAACATCCACAGGCAGGAAGGCAAGACATTTCTTGTCATGTGTCTCTCTTTTAGCTAGGGTGGAAAACCTTTTCCAGAGTGCTTGCAAATAGACTTCCATCCATATGCTTTTGGCTGTGTTTGGGTCAAAAGACAAACCATTATCACACTGTAATGTGGGATGAGACAGAGAGAGAGAGAGAGAGAGAGAGAGAGAGAGAAAGAGAAACAGCTGTTAGGGAGGCTATCAGTGCCTGCCACACTGGGGGGAATTCTTAACTTTAAAGTAGTTGGGGATGTTGCCATGAATCTCATGAACTCTCTTTTTATCATTATACCGAAAGCAGAAGATTACAGGGGAATAATGAAAGATACAGGAATTCTGACAAAGATTGGGTACAGATTTTCAGTTCAATTTCTACATTAAACATTGCTATATAACTCTGGTGTGTGGTGGTTAAAAAAAAAAAAAGTTGCTACAAAGGCCTGGTGTGTTGGTGCATATCTGTAATCCCAGAATTCAGGAGGATGAGACCGGAGGATCAAACATTTGAGACCAGCCTGGGTTACATGGTGAGTTCCAGGCAAGCCTGGGCTACATAGAGAGACCCTGTCTCAAAACAAAACAAAACAAACATTGCAACAAAAGCAAAAATAACTTTTCTTTCACACAGATTGACTGACATTCAAAAACCTGCACATATTTAAAATGAAAAATCTGATAAGTTTTGACATACGGAACTACACAGTAACTTAAACAGGAAAAGTTTAAAATAAAGAATTACTATGACAAGAGATTACCTGTTAGGAAAAAAAAAGAAAACTCTAAAAATACAGAAATACAAAGCCAGGTCTATGTTCATTATCTGCCCCTAGGGTAGATAATAAACACAGACCTGACTTTTGCCCTTTTGTTTTCTTCTCTCTTTCATCTTCTATTGAAGCCCTTATAGTTCTTCCTCTCTACAGGGGGCTGCTTTGAATTCTTGTCTTCAGTAAATCAGTTTTTTTTTTCACGTCAACAACCTTTATTATCATTCACATACTTCACAGGATTGCAGCAGAGTTACATGTATTAGGTCAGAGTTGTATGAAAATATAACTCAGATTTGTACAATCACTCTACAGGTGGGAGGAGGGCAGTCCCCACGTCAGGCACAGCAGCTGCACTTGTCGGATACCTCTTTATAGACACAGTTCTGGGCACACTTGGCATAGCCCATGGGGCAGCAGAACAGCAGCTCTTGCAGGAGGTGCGTTTGCACTCTTTGCACTTGCAGGAGCCAGCGCAGATGCGGGAATCACCAGTGGTGCAGGAGTAGTTGGGGTCCATTTCAAGCTCAGGGAGAAAGAAAGAAGCTGTGTGGCTGCTGCAAGACATAGTACATTCAGTTCTTATGTTTCCTCTTCTTATGTGAAACTGAATATTCTTCTAAGCTTTGTTCTGGGTAGTAATGGGATTTTTGGAATTTAGAATCTCTCACTTTCAGTCTATTATTTTCAAGAAGACTTAAGAAAGCCAATGCAGAGACTCAGAATTGTCTAATAGCCTTGATTACTAATGCCAGTAGCTTGCCATTATAACTTTAAAATATCCTCTTGTGTATATGTATGGACAATTGAATTTTGACAACAGTGCCAATACCATTCAATGGGGAAGAGGACAGACTTTCCAGCAAATGGTGTGGGGAAAACAATATCCACATGCAAAGAGATAGGTACATGTACAAAAATTGACTCAAAATGGACCAAAACTCTTTTTTTTTAAATTTGTACCATCGCTGTAAGTTCTGTGAGATTGAAGACGCTGTTTTATTCGCCTTTTTATCTAGCAGCTAATATAGTCCCTAGCACTTAAAAAATAATTGCTGCATTGGTAAACAACTGAAATACACATACACACACATATAGACACACAGTGATTTGGAAAAACTTCAAGATATTTTTTGGGGTGGTGGTGCTGGAGTTTGAACTCAGGGCCTTGCACTTGCTAGGCAAGTACTATTCTACTTGAATGTGCCTCTAGCCACCACCCCCACCCTTTTTTTTTTTTTGCTTTAGTTATTTTTCAGATAAGATCTTGTGCTTTTTGCACAGGCTAGCCTTCTAGGGACCTTCTGCCTATACCTCCTGCATAGCTGGGATTATAGATGTGCACCACCATGCCTGGATTGTTCTTTGAGTGAGAGTGTCACTAACTTTTTTTTGCCCACATTGGTCTCAATCTGCAGTCCTCCTATGTCCATTTCTTAAGGAGGTGGTGAGTCACCACATACCTTATATGATTTTTTAATGTGAAGAATATTTTCTGAGTGCTTACAAAAGAACCTGTTTTCAATATATCCCTCTAGGCACTGAAAATATGGGATTTCTTGGGGGAGGGTGATTTTTTTATTTTCTACTTTTCTTTACCACTTAGAATTCTGCTATACGTATGCATTGATTTTATAATTGCAGGCTGCAAAAATAAACCATTTTTATGATTCCTGCCTCCAAGCCCACACTTCTTCACCTGACTGGCATTAGAAGAAACTAGCCTTCTCCAGAAATGAGCAATCCATGGGTGTGGCTGGTCCCTAAATTGCTGAACTAACACTGGCAGTTGCAAATACAACCAAAAGCACTTCAAGGGAAAAGTTTCGTGATTTAAATCTGATGCAGCATTTATCAAAATTAACTTTTTTTTAAAAAGCCATCCTTTGATAACATAACCAAGATTAGCTTGGAAAGTTTACTTTTTGTAGATGTACCTGTGGGCACAAAGGCACATAGGATATTGTTTTCTTTTAATCTGTCAGAATCTACAGTCTGCATTTACACATGTAACTCTCATTAGTAAATTGATACATTTGGCACTCAGTCCTTTTTCATATTAGTGAGTGATTTGGAGAACCTCCTAAGTCTTCTAGATGTTTGTAGCAGAAAATGAGGTTGGAATCTGCTGTAATAACCACATCCTCGTGCTTTCCCTTGCTTGATAGCAAGTATGTCAAAACAGAGAAATGTAAATGATCCTCATCACAAATGCATGACTTTGCTATATAAGACCCTTTTACCTCAGGCAAGATTATTTTTAAACATAATATTGACATTGAGATAATCATAGCATTTATACAGCTCATCCAGTTTAAAGTTCCAGAAATGTGGAAAAAATACATTAAATTGTCAGGAAATAGGGCACTGATCTGAATGAAATTCGATTCTTAAACACTTGAAGTACATGAACTTTACTGAGATAATTTTGGTGAAAATTACTTAAATTACTTATGATTTCTGTCTAGATCTAAAATAGTTTGCCATAATGGCTTTAATTATCAATGTGAGACAGTAGGGTTTTCCTTTTTTTTTTTTTTTTTGTTTAGTAATTTAACTTTTATGTTAAAAATAAACTTTGAAAATAACTACTTAAGTCCTATTGTGACAAACTCTGAATGTCATGGAGTTTTAGAATTGTTCAAACTGGCCAATGGGACTTGAGGGGAAGTCTGCTAGGGGACTGAGGGGAAGTTTTCCTTTTTGTTGGGGAATCACATATGAGAAAAAATGGCTCTTCTTTCTCTCAACATTCTCATCTGTGGAAGAAGGCCTGGCATTGCTGAGGGAGCTCTCCTGAGATGGCAAAGCAACTAACAGACATTGATAAATCACCACATTAACTAGAATTTATAAGCCAGGGAGCCACTCCAGCTTAGGCTTCTTATTGAAATAATACATTTTTCTTACTATTTAAAAAGATTATTCAAGAATGATTACATAGTCAAGAATGTGTAATTGAAAAATTCCAACTAAGGTTAAGTTATGGTGTTATTCATACCTCAGTCATGGTCTAATATAAATTATATCCTGCAATTAACATCCCATTAAACCTTCCAATGAGTTACAATGAGGAATTAACTCTTCTCTCAAATTTTACCAGCTTCACTTTTAAGGGACAATAAGTATGCTGTTCTCAAACGTCTCTAAGGGAAAATATAATGATTGACAAGGAATGTATGAACTCGAAGGAACAGTTAACTAGAGGGCATAACATTGCAATTACAGCTGTGTAGAAAACTAATTTTAATATCATTGGTGTATGGATACTGACACACTTACTTACTCTTGTGTGTTATGTATATGTGTGTCAGAGACCCCTGGGCCCTGCCTTTCAGAGGGTGTCATGCTATGTGTGTAGGAGTCTTCTCCTGGGAACCTGGAAACCTTGGTTCACTGGTGAGTGTAATACACGGATATGCACTCCCTAATACATATTTGTTAACCACACAGGACACAAATACAATAGCAAGGTCCCTTCAGAAGAAAGCAAGTAACTGTCTTCTATTTTGTAAGAGGCATCCAGGTAAATGTCACAGTTCTCCAAATAAATAGCATGTTCCCATGTGTGGAGCTTTTGCTTTTTCTCTGGCTGGGGTACCTTATCTATTCCTCTTTGTTGACTCCTAATTAGCTTTCAAGACCCAACCTGGCCACCAAATCCTGCTAGTTCTCCTCTTATAGAGCTGTAGAATTATTAGAATGACAAGTGACCATAGGAAATTAAAATAAACAGAAAGTAAAATGAAAAAAAAGAAAAAGAATGATAAGTAACTGACTCTCTAAGTTGATTCCTTCTCTCCCTGTAGTAGAATGTTGGGACAACTGAATGAAATAAATTATTAAAGCTGAGGTCCTGGTAGAAGTCATTTTCATGAGACCAATAGGCATTCGAATTGACTGGATCCTGCCTCTCTTTTTTCCAGTTCTAGAACATTTGGCACACTGATCAATCTTCCTAAAATATCTTTGGTATGGAATTTACTGCTAAAATAACAACAGCTTCGTGTCATTCAGTGGTATAGGACATGCCTAGTATGTGCAAGGCCCTGGGCTTGATCCCCAGCACCATAAAAATTAAAATAAATAAATAAGATACAAGTAACAGCACCAACAACCTTTTCAGAACGATCCATCCTAGCTCCTTACTTGTTCCCTCCTGAATGCATGGCCAGGAAGGTGGATAGCTGTGAAATGGTATGTGTTGTTATTTTAATTTGCATTTTTTCCCTTATGTTTTTAATTACTTGAGATTTCTATAAATCACAACCTTTCTGGCCTTTGCCCAATTTTACATTGGAGTATTTGTATTTGTAAAAATTAGCTTCTGAGGTTTCTGTATATTCACTTTGGATATAGTAATCCTTTGTCAATGAACATTTATTAGCATGCAAATAACTTCTCCCAGTCTGTTTTATTTTTCCTCAAATTTATAGTCTTCTATTGTTTGGAAATCTATGTTCTTCTTCCTGATTCTCATGTGCTCCTGTCCAGCAACTCACTCCTCTGCATTCTGTGAAAGATTTCTGGCAACCCTTCAATTCAAATCCTTTTAAAGTCTCTTTCAAGGCACTCTTTAATTTGAAAACTTGGAATAATACAGTACTTATTCTTAGGACTTCTGTGAGCATTAGATAATATATGTGAAGAATCTGCCCTTCTCCCCTGCACTTTCTTTCAAAGTGCATGTTCTTCTTCTCTGCTTTTTCCTATGCCTAGAGTATCTTTCTCATCCCTCTTGGCCTTCCCCAATCTTTTAAGACACATGGAAGATGCTCCCATTGCTCACCTAGTAGCCACCCCCGCCTTCTGCCCTGATCAACGAACCCTGTTTGTGATATGTGTCCAGTCCGAGGGTCAAGCCAGTTATTTCTGTTTATTTGCTGCCCCTGCCTCTTGTGGTAGATTTGGAGGACTGGTCACTCAACAGCTACCCCAGCCTCCTTTTACCAGCTTTTGTGAACCTCAGAGGCTGAAAAGGTAAGTATTACATATTTCCAGACTGTCTTGAGATGGGGTTGTGGATGTGGTTATACAATTATATTGTCATAATTGTTGTATTTTATTAGTAGCTACTATTGTGAATCTTGATGTTCCTAATTATAAATGAAACTTCATCACAATTATGTGTATATGGGTATGTAGGGAAAAGCCAGTGTCCATAGGGTTTGGTACTGTCCGTGGTTTTAGGCATCCACTGGGATCTCAGATTGTAACCCCTGTAGGTGAAGGAGGATTACTGTACCTCTGAAAGGCCCCACCTTCTAATACCAACATACTGGAAGTTAGGATTTCGATATATGAATTTTGGGGTACACATTCAGTCTGTAACATCCAGACATAATGCTTAGCTATCTGGGCATCTCTTGGCTAGTGAAGTTGATACAAAAGAATTAATCATCACATACATGTAGCAAAGGCAGCATGCTTCTCGAATTAGCCACAGTAGGGTAGCTTCCCACTGGGCAGGTAGAGTCTAGATTAGAGCAGAATGTCAGCTGCCTTTTCAGCCACTTCCAT